CTGGGTCGCCTTAACTTCCTAGCCAGGAGTTTCAAAAGCTTACAAACAAATGTTCCATTGGCCTTAGCGAAACAATGTTATGTCACTCTGGGTAGCATTTTCTCTGACCAATGACCTGGATTGAACAGATCACTCTATTTTTCCTCCGTTAATTTTATGAGAAATCACCAAGTCAAATGTGAATCTGCCTGCCAAAGAAACTCTCGCTTTCCAGAAACATCCCCAGCAAAATGAATTTAAGCAGAATGTACTCTAACCACGTTTAAATTGTGGCTGCATTTTAACTACCGCTAACTTGATCCACACGCACTGAACTTCAGAAAGGTTACGCAGGAAGGCATACACAGCAGTGTAAGCCACACGTCTCCCTATTTACTCCCCGTCACATCTAAGCCTCATCGCCTTCTCATAGTCAGACATAGAGGTGCATACTTGTATTTCCAATAGCAACGAAGGGAGCTGAAGCAAGAAGATCAGGGGTTCAGAGCTAACCTGGGCTCCATGGCTCAGTCCCAGTGGAAACAGTTTGAAGCAGTAAATTTTCCACTCTGACCTTTGCCGCATGTCGAGAGACCACATCTGGATCCTTTCTGTTTTAATTTGTCCAGTTTCCCCACCCCAACCCCCAGCAAGCTCACACCCAAATAGAATACCATAGCACAATCCTGCAGGGTGAGTGGTTTAAACAGTATAAACTCATTCACAGTTTGGGAGTTAGAGGTCCAAGCATAAACGGATGCTGGGTTTGGTTTCTTCTGCAGTTTCTCACTGAACTTTTCCTTGCTGAGGCATAGCCTTGCCTTTTCTCTATACACACCATATACTTGGCGTCTTCCTCTTCTCCTTCTCCCCGACCTCCTTCTTTTCTTCTTTTTGAGACAGGGTTTCTCTGTGTAGCCCTGACTGTCCTGAAACTCACTCTGTAGACCAGGCTGACTTTGAACTCAGAGATCTACCTGCCTCTGTCTCCTTAGTGGTGGGATTAAGGTGTGTCACCACCACCTGGCTGGAAAAAAAAACCACCTCTTTTTCTTCCTTTTCTTTTAAGAACACTGGTCATGGTGTAACAGAACCCTACATGTGTTGGGGAAGTCCTGTATATATGTCAATAAAGCACTGTTGGCCAATAGGGAAGCAAGATAGGTGGGACTAGGAGTCCAGGAGGACTCTGGGTAGGAGAAACACAGGGAGTCAAGATGTAACCGCCATAGGGATAAGAAGCCCAGAAATTTCTCCGGTAAGAGAAATACTTAGATTAACAATTATTGGGTAAATACTTAAGTCAGAGCTAGCCAGTAAGAAACAAGCAAAGCCAACAGCTTCATAATTAATACAGCATCTTGTGTGTTATTTGGGGACTGCAATGCAGCAGCGCCCAGGCGACTGGCGGGTGAAAAACCAAGCAGCTGGCAAGGAAAAGCCTCTCTTTACATACATGGATGCTTCATGTTAACATAATCACCCTTTAAAGACCTTATTTACAAACAAAATTACAAAATTACATTCTGAAGTGGTGTGGGATAGAATGCCTCCCAACTCACAACACATTGCAATACATTTTAGAATATTAGGTATCTTTACTCTAAGTGATTCTTCTCAACCTCAGCATAAACATCCTTGGTGAAAGACCTTGTTTTAAGATACAGGGATTATAGCAATCAATTGAACATCTTCTTAATAACTATCAAAACTGTGTTCACAATTGTCCTGTTGGAAACACCTTTGGGGTGGTGGTGGGCAGATGGGGTGGATAGCCAGCACAGTGGCTTCTGCCCATTAGCTGGGACGGGAGACTCTCTAAAGTTGCTTATAAATAAGTTTATTTACCATGGCATTCCACTGACCACCCTAGAACATCCTGTCCCTAGGGGGTCAGCCATTTGTCAATGTCTATATGAAAGACTCCTTAGAAGGTTGCATTAATCTGACCTTTGTCACTATCATGAAGAGTTTGAGACTGTGGACTTTATTAAGAAAAATTATCTTCTTTGGTTTAAAGTCCTGGAGGCTGTAAGTTCTGGGTTAGGTTGTTTCATTGATTTGGTCTTTTCTGAAGTCCTGTTGGCACTTGGCATGACCGCAAGTGACCACGTGGAAATCAGTCCTATCTCACACTAGAAATCCAGAGAACAGTCGGGGCCAGACTCAATTCTCTACCAGTTAATCTTGTGAGAACTCATGGATTCCAAGAGATCTTCGACAATCTCTCTCCCCGGGAGCAGGCCCCTGCAGTTTGCTAAGGACTTCCTGGTGTTCCTTACCTTTGAAAGCCTCCACAGCGGTTCTCAGCATAACTACACTGAGGTCCAAGCCTCCAGCTCAGGAAGCCTTGTGGAACAGACCACACCTAAACAACAGACAAGGGCCAGTCCTAACATTGTGAATTCCCATGCGTCATTCACTTCCATGTCTGCATCCAGCAGCACCTGGACCCCAGGTGGGATCCGGATCTGGCCGTTCATTTCATCTTATGCTACCACCAAAGACACAGATGCTACAGCCGAGACACAGAGGCTGGGGGCAGTCAGAAGATTGGCGAGGTCCTTCCTGCAAGGATCCCACGTAAGTTCTTCTGACTCCAAGGACAGCAGTGCTTTGCTTCCCATAACCCATTATCCCTCCTTACTGGAAATCAAAGCAAGGGCTTTTGGTCTTCTGCACACCAATCCATGTGAAGAAGCAAGGGCAGCCTCTCTCATGGATTCTGGGAAATTCAGCCTGTCTTTTGGTACCAAATGATCTACCTAACAGTTCGGCTGGCTTATGAAACCCTCAAATGCTCAAACCATATGTTTAAATAGAATTCTCAATGGATATATTCCTTATAAGTGCAAATGGAATTTCTCAACATCAAGTGGAAAAATAGTCTTAATTTGTCCTTCAGTCAGTCATAGGACAGTGAAAATGATATGGTCTGGAATTTCTTCCCCCAAACCATGACTTTACTCCTCAGGTGCAAGATGAGTCACACCCGAAGACATCTGTACATAAACATGAGTCTGGCTGGCCACACGCACATCTAATATCACTTCTGAAAACATAGAAAAGCAGACTTTCAAATCAGACAGTACATTTCCCCCCTGAAAAAATCTATAGACAGAAAGTGTATGTGGTTTCCTCGTCTGGCTAGCTTTATTGTCAAAATTAGGGTGAAGCTTTTGTGTGCTTGAAGCCAGCCTTTCCCCATGGGCTAGCTTTCTCTCTTGAGAATACTAAGACATACATCCTGAAGTTGCACCATGCTTATGGGATCACTTAGCCCATATCCCCTAAAGACCCATAGCCTGAAAAGAAGGTGTGTGTTTGCTTGACAGAGACGTCATGAAAATTCATCCTTGTGCCGTGACAGGCATGCGGGTCTGAAAAACAAATGTCCGTGTCACTGGCTCCATGTCCATGTGGGGTTTGCAATAGTCCCCTTTGACTTACTGGAGTCAGACTTTATAAACTGGATTTTGTTCATTCTCCACGGCCATTGAAAAAGCTGCCCGTGGCAGCTTATGAATTGTGTCTCCCAGCGGGCTCAGAAAGACAAGTGGAGAGAGGGTGGCCAGTGTGTGTGAAGCTCCCCCTGCAGAATTGGGTGGGGACACACAATAACATCTGTGTGTAACCCAGAAGCCTGCAAACTGCTTCCCAATGAGTAAGCAAGTGAGCATGAACGACGGAAGGCCAGAGCATCTTTTGTTAACTGTCTTAGAGACTGGTTTGTATGGTAAGGGGATGGGGGGAGGCGACACAGATTCCTTGCTTGTGTGCAGCCTGATTTTGTTATCTCTGCAATATCTTCACTTCTAACTCTCCAGACTATGTATTTCCTTTAATTTAGGGAGTCAGCTCATGGTGACTTTGCACGCTCCTAGGGCACCCATATAGACAGAAACTCTAGGGTTCTTGGCCCTGTACCGTTACCATCAATGATTGGATAGTTTCTATGGCCAGAACCCACAGCTAACGATGCCAATACCATATTTGCAACTGCTTTGGTTTTGGTGTTCTGTAAGCTATTCAATGAGATATCACAGTTCTTAGCACTTGTCTGGTAATGTACTTCCAAAGTTCTCCCTGAGTTCAGAGCACACAGTGACATCCTGCAATGACTGCATTCATAGCCTCCCTGGAGAGCTGCCTGCAAAAAACAAAAACAAAAAAAATCCCCAAACTTTCTGAACATCTCTTGATGATTTCGCAAGGTTAGATGAAGAAAACAGAAGCTGGGAACCCAGCTGCATGCACAGGAAGAAGCAGTAGGGATCATCACACAGCTTCAGCCTTCTGGAATCAGCTTTGGCCTCCTGGCCATTCCAGGTAGAGGGAGGTCATCTTTAGCCAAATCCACTGTTCCCAAAGAGCAGCTGGAATTCCGTCTGCTTTATGAGGGTTTGCGCTTACTTTCTGCCTACACCCCCACCCCATTTCATAGATACAGGGCAATCTCAATTCCACAAGAAAATGATTGTCTCTGTATCACGCTACCTGGCCCCAAAAGGCCAAAACAGAGAGCGGCATTGCTGAAGAGCACTGAAGGGTGTGACCTGAAGTGCCCCTTCCAGGATCCCCCACTGAGGGGTCCTGAGAGTAGTTGTCACAGGCTTACACATTGATAAGTTAGTCTGAAAGAATCCAAACAGCAGTAAAGGGACAGAGGGACTCTGTATAGATTCACAGAGACCTGTCCATCTTCTACACCTGAACTTAGAAAACGTGATGCTATCTAGAATTTTAGCTGTGAAACAGACAACAATAACAACTTTTTATGATCTCAACTTCCAGCTATTGTTACTGTCATCTCTTCTCTTTACAGACAATCTGAAATAGTTCCTTGGGAGGACATTTGTGGGAAAACACAACTGTGACAAAATTAAACACTTAGCTGGGACCATAGATTCTTGCCTGTCTTTGGTGTTCCAAGAGACTAGGGACATCCAAACATTAAGATTCCCAGTGTTGGGAGATAGCCATGTCCTCCCCTCTAAGAACTGGATGTGGTAGGTACTCACCGGTCATTAGGGTGTAGTAATTGGGATAGGAGAGGCTGGGGAAGTCCGGGGTCAAGTAATCCACTTTGACTCCCCTGTTCACAATCTCTCTAAAGCCAGGCAAGGATGCCAGGACCTCCTCACTGATGTAGTCTGAGCGAAAACCATCCAGGAGAAACAGCAGGAGTTTCCGGTGGGCAGAAGCTGGCCAAACCAGGCTGAGCCCAAACACCAGCAGGAAGGTCCCAAGCTTTACTGCCATGCTGCCAGGAGCCTGCAAGAGCCAGCTGGCACCACTGTCCCCTTGCAAACCTCCAGGATGGGGAGCCTGGAGCTCTTCTCTCTTCTGGGGCTGGACCTTGAGCTGCTGCTCTTCCCAAGCCAAGTTCTCTTGCAGGATTTAAAGGAACAGCACTCCATTTTAAAAAAATGTTTCTGCTCACACCCACAAAGTCCAGAGACTGACTACCTCTAGATAGGCTGGGCTCACTAACACCCTAGAATTAAAAGGAAGGGAGAAAACACAACCTCATTGTTTTTAGTGGAATGTTCTATAAATATAAACATTCTCCAAGAGTAGATGTTTGTAGTCTTAGAAGATGACAAAGTTGACACTTTGGCTTACAATTGTGCTGACCAAAGGAAGGAGGAGCCAGGGAGACAGGAAGTTTTAAAATTAGTTCTGCCTGGTTTAAACCTTCTGACCTCTGCATTTAACCATTTAGTAAGCCCAAACTCTTAGGGTATAAACTAGAGAACACATTTACGTGGGCAATGGTGAGCTACGTACTCTTGTCATAGCCGCAGCCTTTAAAAACAATTATTTATCTAGGTCTCCACTATTGATTTTTGCCCTAATGTGCCCCTTAAAGAAGTGTTATTGTTTTATTCTTCAATTGCAAATAAACTGTTGGTGCCTGGCACTCACCTGGAGGAGGAGTTGTTAAACAGAGGAGCTACCAACCCAGAGGGAAGGTTCTAGAACTGGATCCGAAGAGGTCAGGCCTAATAGGTTGAACTGAGACAGCATTGCCCATGAGGGTAACATTGAGATGGAAAAGGAGCTTGAAACAACCAAGCAAGTTCCAACACAGGAGCAATTGGGCAGAGAGGAGCCTGTCACAGGAGGAGGTGTGGGAAGTAGAAATGGTCCAGGTCGTCAAGAAGATGGCACCGACTAAGTGCCCAAGTCGCAGGAACTCTCTACAATGGTTCTTTTATCTGGTACAAAATTGAATGAGATGCTTATGTAAAAGCTAATAAAATATGTGTGGCCACAGAACCAACTTAGAAAACATTGGGTTGTGTTAGTGTTATGGTGTTGGTTCCCAGCCCCGAAGGGGTCTCTGTGAGTTGCTTGTCAGACAATAACCACAGGTGCATCCTGTTTTCTAGTCCTGGCTTACAGCCCGGGCCTTGCCCCACTGCCCACTGGCATCAACCTCTAATTATGAAAACACGAACTCTTACACCTAGGGGTTTCTCCACTGTGCTGTAAGTCTGTATATAAGGCTGCTCTCTCCTTGCAATAAACACATGCACGCGCATGCACACACATACACACACACACACACACACACACACACACACACCACACATTCTCTTAGCACAAACGGTCTGATCTTTCATTTAAATCTCCAGGCTTTTGCCCGATGCATTAGACTTGCTCGTGGCACAGGCACCACATTATGGAGTTGCTTGACTCCTGAGGAGCCAGGCAGGCTCGGTCAGTCTGTGGTCACACTCATCTTCACCATGGTTATGCCCATATTCACTGCGGTCACTCTCATCTTCATGGTTCTGACTGGCTGCTATCCTTTTCCTGCTTCCTCATCCCCTTGTGTTTAAAGTCAAACCTTCACAGACAGCCTAAATACAAAGAACTTAGCCAAATGACATCTCAGTTGACTCAGATAAGAATGAAGCTTCCTTTTTCTCTCTAATAAAAGGTCATGCTTTTTACAGTTAAATTCTTTTTTTCTTATTAGAAAATAGAAGAAGGGTAGCTTAGTCTTAAAGTTCATTAGTTTGAAAACACAATTTTATTCTTGTTTTATTTTGTTTTGTTTTTCAAGATAGGGTTTCTCTGTGTAGCCTTTGTTGTCCTGGAACTTGATCTGTAGACCAGGTTGGCCTTGAACTCACAGAGATAGGCCTGCCTCTGCCTCCCAAGTGCTGGGATTAAAGGAATGCACCGCCACCACCTGGCTACACAATTTTAGCCTTATCCATTTGAATAATAATATATTATTGCTTCACTAAATAGAAAAGACAAGACATGAAGGAAGGGAAAGGGGACCAGAAGAAGGAAGAACTGAAAGGAGGGGAGCCGAGGGGAGGGGAGGGAGGAGAAATATGCTAATAGCTGGTGGATGCCCAGCCCTGGGCATTATGCATATTAAAAGAACTTCTTCCCTCGAGGAAACCCAAGGAAGACTCAGCTGGACTCTGAAACCTGAGTTTTGCTAGCTGGACAGAGTCCACACATATGCATTGGGGTTACCCCTGGGTTAGCTTAGGAGAGAATTCAACATTCATACTTTTAAAATGATCATAAAATGACTGCTTCATTCCTCCGCCCTGTTAGAGGGTGGGAGGTTTTGCTTTCTATTTTGGCCTTTTTATTTCCACAACATTGCTATTATTGTTAAGAATTTAACACTGACCATGTCTACATTCTCTGTTTCAGTAGCTTCAGTTTCCATTAAAATATAGCACTATTCATCTGCTCTTGACAACATTTACAATAACTGGCTTTTGTTAGTCTTGGTGATACAGTTTTCACGATTATTTATTTAGCTTTCAGGTTATTCATTAACTCCTTTGTACTTTTCTTAATTCCCCCAGTGCTACTTTGTCTTTCAATATGTTGGTTTTGGAGTTTTGTTTTTGTCTTTTTTTTTTTGGCTGTTGTTTTTGGCTTTGGTTTTTCCACACATGTTTTCTCTGAGTAGCTTTGGAGGCTGTCCTGGAACTTGCTCTGTAGACCAAGCTGGCCTCAAACTCAAAGAGATCTGCCTGCCTCTGCCTCCTGAGTGCTGGGACTTAAGGTATGTTCCACTACTGCCTGGCTTCAATATGTTGGTTTTATCTCTGCTTTGGATCTTGTCTTACAAGTGTTTAAATTATATTATTAAGATTTCCAATATATTTATAAATTTTGTTCTTTTCTAGCTAATTTATTAAAGTCTTTCTCCTTATCTTATTTTGTTGCCTTTTTTATACTTCTTGAGAGCAGAATTAATTATTTGCACTATTTCTGGTTTAAATAATAATTTGTATTACAATTTTTAGGTAATATTTATTATTATGCTTTTTCTCTTATGACCATATTTTTTTCAGATCCAATAGGATTGCTATATAAATTTCCAATTATCACTAGACTCAAACAAAGTCTGAAATCAGTTCGTTCTTTAAGTGGATAACTGTCAGTTTTTAACAGTGATTTCATGGTTTCCATGTAGAGTTTGCCTGCTTCTAGATATTGTGTTGTTCTCAGATAATGTGTTCTGCATTAAACCTGTGCTATTTGTGTTCTATTTTATGTCTGGCCAATGCTGTGGCGGCTCCGGGGGGTTTGGGTAAAGAAGATGCTTACCGGGTATGGAGGTGGGCACATGCTTCGTTTGATAAATTCCAGCATTTGGAATGAATCTCTAACTGTGCCCTGTCAGAGTATCTGGCAGCTGTGAGGTGCAGGCATGCCCGGTTAGGATTGATGAAGATTAACCTACACAGGATAGGGATGCTGTATGATATTAGGGAGAAATCACTTACTTGAGAAGCCGAGAACCCAAGGTCAGCGCTCTGCTGTCTCTGAGATCTGACCAGACCCCCCAAGAGAGAGCGAGACGGAGTAGTTCCCTTCCTCTCAGCTCTTTATCCCTCCCCACCCCACCCCCCCCCCCACCCTCGCATCTTCTACATACCTGTGACCACACCCAAAAGGGCATGGTCAGCACTACAGGTACCTAAGATCTCTCCCTACAGTTAGGAGCACTGGAGAAAGCTGATGTTCTCTCCCAAAGACACTAGGGTCCTGTGGATCAGGGACTTGCTAAACTCCAAAGCTCTGCAACAGACCAGGACACAAATGTAAAGGTCCGTGAGTAGCCAGAAGATACTGCATTGCCCATGAGGAAACTGAGTCTTAACAGAGTCAAGATTTATTTAAAAATCTGTTTGTTTTCATAAACTTTACCTAAATCAGTAGTAGTTCCCAACCTGGGGGTCACAACCCCTTTTGGGGGTCAATGGACCCTTTCACAGGGTTTGCCTAAGACCATCAGGAGACACAAATATTTATAGTATGGTTCCTAACAGTAGCAAAATTACAGTTATGAAGTCTCAACAAAAACAATTTTATGGTTGGGGGACCCCACAACATGAGGAACTGTATTAAAGGGTCTCAGCGTTAAGAAGGTTGAGAACCACGGCTCTGAATGTTACACAACAGTTCATTTTAAATCACTACTCACTCTCTAGGACCAGCTCACCTGACCTTCCAGGTTTTCAACAGCCATACGCAAGAAGCCAATGAAGATGAAGGGGATTAAAAGAGAGCCCCCCTTTTGCCTCCAGGCCGGCTGCCAGGACTCAGAAGAACTGGTAAGTCACCTCCCCTCTTGTTTGTATCAGAGAGGTCAAGGAGACCCAGCTGTCAGACATAGTCAGTGAGCATTCTGTAAAGATCAGGGTAATTTAATTACACAGTATCCTCGGGGCTTCCAAGGAAAACTACATAGTCAGCAAGACCTTGACCCAGGTCAGATAACAACTAGGCAGAAAAAAGTGAAAGGATCCCTTGGGATGCTCAAAAGTGGGTCTCTAAGAGCCATCCCTGTGCCGTCTTGACAGGCAATGATGATGATGATGATGATGATGATGATGGTGATGGTGGTGATGATGATGGTGATGACGACAATGATGATGATATTAATTTTTGGCTAACTACATGGTCTTAAACATCAAAGAAGAATGCATAACCAAAAAGCAAACTACTTAGCTGTGTGACAAAACAAATTTCTACCAATCCCTTACCAGAATTCTCATCCAAACCCTGTTCAACTAGGGGCCCTGGTTCCCCTAAAGGTGTACAAAGGTAATCCATGTAACTAGCTTTAAAAAAGGACCCTAGTGGATCTTATTAAGCACCCCTAAAGCTATCAGACTCTAGGTAGTTGCTGTCATTTGTTTTCTGTTGCTCTGATAAAACACTAGCCAAAGCAATTCATGGAGTAAACAGTTCATATGGCTTACAGATCACAGGCCTCCATCTCATCAAGGAAAGCCAAAGCAGGATCCTGGAGGCAGGGACTGAAGAAAAGACCATTGAGCAGAGGTTATCAACCTGTGGGTTGCGACCCCTTTGGGGGTCACATGTCAGATGTTCTGCATATCAGGTGTTTACATTGCAATCTGTAAGAGGAGCA